TGTAGAAATGAAAAATGAAATAAAATAATTATAATAAAATAACTGTGGGTAATGTAAATATACTTTTACATTCTTTGAGCATATTGTGTTTGTTTTTGTTTCAAGGTATAATTTCTAATCCAATTTCATCTCTAATAAATGGCCTCTTGAAATGGCTTGACCAACAGTTTCCAAACTATGGATCCACCACTGTAATCAATAGTCTAGTCTAATTTTTCTATAGAATTTAATTTATTATAAAGTATCCAGAAAATAACATACTATTCGTAAATACTATTATAAGATTAGATATTGCAGGTCATAGACTTCAGTGAACATTTTGCCGTAGTTCATATATTCAATGCATGTTGAAAATGAATAGGTATGTATTAAAGCATGTATTAAAGCGTTTATTATAAAATGTTTTATTTCCTAAGAAACATTTGAAAAATAAAATAATAAATATAGGTAGAGCATGACATGTATGCTTGTTACACAATAATTAGGTAGATATTTAATATATTTGTACCTATACACTGTATACAATGGCATATTTAACAAACATTTTTTAGATATATGGTCTTAAAATTAAAAATTGTCTATTACAGTTGTAAAAAACTGTTTACTCACATCATTGTTACAACTAACATTTTTTATTCGTTTGATCTGAGAACAAAGAGAAATCTATAGGTGGATCGCCCAGATCTTATAACATATTTAAATTAAATAACTTATAAGTACCTACCCAAARTGTTTTTAAACCCAAAACCCTAATTGTGAATATACCACTGTATATTATATAAAATAATATTATTTATGACACAATTAAGTATAAGAGCGCTTTCAGACAAGACACTTTGTAGCCGGCTACTTATGTCTGAAAAGAATCACGCGACTAAGATAACATTGCTATAAATATACTCGTACACACGAGACAAAGACATGGATTGTGTGTCGCGCCACCGAATTGGCGTGTTTTGTCCCCGTCAGCAGCCAGACACTGATTCTAGTGGCCGGCTACAAAGTGTCTCGTCTGAAAGCGCTCTAATGATAAAAAATGTATTAATGTTTATAACATTTTAATTCTAAATGGATATGCTTAATATTGTATGAAACAATATAGGATAAAATAACATATATTTTTTAAATTAAACAGAGATTGTGTATTACATTAAAAAAAAAATCTTTGGAAAATATTGTATGCTAAGTTAATAACGTAGATAGGTACCTAAATATTAGTTGTACATTGTACAATATTCTCATTACATACGATGAGACAAACTTAACATGACGTGTACTTTGATTGTTCTAAACCACCTATGAAACACCTTTCAAACAGCTTGTCGATAAAAACTTATAGTAAATCAAGCACAAAAAAAAACGTTTACGGTAGGTATTTGTATAGTACCCACATGGTACCTACAAACCTATAATCTATACCAGGGGTTCCCAAACTTTTTCCATTCAAGGCTTCCTAATAAACATTTCTTCACATCTCCCTCAAATAATATTCAATAAAATAGGTTAAAAATTGTTTAATATATAATATTTATTAGTTTAAATTTAAATTTTTATGAAAAAAAAAAGTAAACTTAATATTTTATTCTATACAAAATAATTTATGTGAACAATGTGCTTGTTTTTCGTTTATTAATTTTTCAAAATTAGGAATTAATGTATTTAATGCAYCCTCTTTAATACTGTTCCAAAATCCTAAAAGTGAATATGAAGAAAATTGCATTTGTAGTGAAGAATCGGATGAAATGTCGATTAATTGTTTCTCTTCTGTAGTTGTGAAATTCGATGGTGGCGGTTCAGTGAACGAGTCTTTCATCCAATAGTACTATTTCATTTCTTCTGGGAAATATTTCATGAAATGAGTTTCAAGTTCGTCAGATGCTCTAAAAATGTTGTCTTTAAACTCATTGGTAGTTCAGRATCATTCTCTCCAAGAAAATATTTTACAAGCCAAGTGGTTTTGCCATTGTCTTCTGTTAATTTTCTTTTCCATAAGTTGATTTTTTTAATAAAAGCAACTATCTTACCGTATAATTGCAGAATATGAGTTTCATTACCTTGTAAATATATATTAAGTGAGTTAAGTTTTTCAAAAATATTACATAAATAGGCTAATTTTATTACAAAATCACTATCAACAAATATTTCGCTTTTATTACAACCTTCTCCATTTAAATAAGAATAAAGTTCTTGTCTAAGTTCGAACTCTGTCTTAAGTTTCTCTTGAAACTACATTACCTTTTGATAGCCATCTAAAATTACAGTAAAACAGTAATGTTGTATGTTCTGCTTCCATTTCTTC